GTCGTCTGATTTCTTGACTGCTGCTTCCATGAGTGTTGATAGTCGATCCAAGAAGAATGAAGTCCTTGACAACTTCAATCTTTTCTCTGTTGATAAGAATTTTAAGAAAGGGTAAACCCTTGAATGAAATATTATGCTTTGGAGGAAAGGAAATCACAGATACATACAGGAAGTTTCTTGTTATCCAACTTTCCAGAGCAATCACAAGGAGTTTGTGTCTGTGATTCCACCAAATTTCCCTCACAATTTCTTTCACACTGTAAGAAGTGGCTGTGTCCTCAGTAGTCAAAGAACTCAGCTGTAGGGAGGACTGGTGTGGATGTGCTTGTGGATCTCAAGAGTCAACTCTTCAGATGAGTCATAGTCTTTTCTGTTATGAAAGTATATTTCTGATAGATACTACAATCTCTTCACAAGTGTTGGAAAATCCATCTTCAGCAATATTTATTGATTATAGAGTTACCAAGGATTCAGGTTAGGGAGAGGATCAATGAGGGATTCACCACTTCTGTGCCTGACCCCTCCAGCTGTATCTGGGGCAGTACAAATGGAGACAGGGAAAATAGTCTATGATGCCAAGTAACATACATTTCATTTATGTCAATCTATTTACAAATCTTATGACACTCACACTGAGACGTGATCACCTAGCAAAAGAACATATACAGGAAAATCCAAGACTGTTGTTTCTTGAGAATCCAGTCCATACTGAAAACCTGGGATAAGGTTTTGAGATTTAACCTGGAATATAAAAAGGCGATTTTCATGTTAGAAACCCTAGGTATAAACTAGGGAAGTGTCAGGGTAGTCTTCAGTCTTGTCAGTATTGTTTCAGAAATTGAAAAGAGAAAATCTGAGCCTCCCACCCCAATTCTAAACACTATCTGTTTAGAATTCAGAAACCTAATAAACATGGGACTGGTAACCACAAGGTCTGTCTTTGAAATTCACCAGTCACTCCTGAATACCCATATACTGGAATGTTATGAATTTGAAATGACTCTAAAACACTCAACAACAACAACAACGATGCTTTGAAGATCATGAAAACTCTTGGGCCCAAAGACAACTCTGACACTGTGACATAAATTCTAATTTCATGAGATTCTCTCCTGGATTCTCTTTCTTCTGTCATTTCTTAGCACATTTTCTGATGAGCTCACTCTCTTGTTTCATTCTAACATCTCACTCAGCACTACTTGGGAGGATTTTGCGATAGTACATGCTTTAAAGAGTTTTGTGACCCAAATATCACATACTGGGGTCACATCAAAGCTAAGAGTTTGAGAGTCACATGACCTTAGACAGGTCTCTCACCTTCTAAGGTGATTTTTTATCTCCAAAATGGCTATAAGAATACCCAGCACACTCTACCTGTAGAGACTTAAGTGCATGACCATTTTCCCAGAAGGATTTCCATATGAAGAGCCTTCAAAAAGTCTATGGAAAAATGGAGTCTAAATATAATGGAATTTTCCCATGAAAGTTTTGAAGCTTCCTCCTAGAGTTTTTTATTCAATGTGATCACCTAACAACAAACAACAACTGGTTCTAGGAAAGGTCCTGGAATTGATCAGTGATATAGGAAGTGAAGGAAACAGATATTACAACTGAACTCCAACATCCTGAGTTAGCATCTCCAGAGACACCTCCAGGAGCCAAGCTCACTTAAAGTTTAGCTCTGTGACTGTGAAGGACACAGGTTTGAAGATCCTGGTCATGTTCATAGGAAACTGTGAATATAGTGACTATTAGCTCATGTTGGCTCTTTTTGGAATTCCAGTTTGGAAAGGGTATATGTAATGTGACTCCATCATTTCTAAGGTTGTTCACTGTGTTCTCCCATAGGATCTGACTTCCCCAGTAAAATGATCAGGGACTAGCTTCCTCTCAACTCTATTGACATCTGCACCCCACATGAATGTAGCCAGGGCAGTAGCCCAAAGTTTTGTTTCCAGTAATTTTAACAGGATCCATATGATCTCTTTTATGGAATACACAGAAATCAAAACTACTATATCTGTGGAAAGAACAGTGGATAAGCTCCATATCATCAGTTAAAACAAGACCAAGGACTCATATGCAGGTTAAGTTTGAAGATGAAACTGCATCTGACCCAAGCCTCATATGATTGTGAAAGTTGGACAATGAATAAGAAAGACTTTGAAAAATTGATGCATTTAGGTTATGATTTGGAGAATATTAAAAGTTCCATAGACTGCCAAAAGATCAAATCAATCTGCTTTCAAAGAAATACTGTGAGAATGATCCTAGGAATCCAGGATGGCCAGACATTGTCTCTCATATTTCAGACATACTATCATAAGGGACCAAACCCTAGAGAAGGGTATCATGTTTGATAAAGTTGAGATTCAGAGAAAGAGAGGATGACCCCAAACAAGATGGATTGGCACAGTGGTAGCAGCAATGGGTTAAAATGTAGCAACAATTGTGAGGTTGGTGGAGGACAGGGTCAGAACACTTAACTGTGCTCATAAGGAACCTCTGAAAAGGCAGTGGTTAGAACAGAACAAGTGGATAATGAATGGTTTAATATTAGGAAATGTGTGCGCCAGCATTGTATTCTTTCACTGTATTTATTCAATCTGAGAAACTGGATTATATGAAGAATAACATGGTAGCATAGTGGTTACAAATCAGGCTGTGAACCACAAGATCAGCAGTTCGAAACTACCAGCTGTTCCTCAGGAGTAAGATGAGGTGTTGTGCTTCTGTAAATATTTATAGCCTTGGATAGCCAGTACAGGGTTGCTATGACTCAGAACCAACTCCAGGGCACACAGCCACCACTACCACCAACATGGTATCAGTTTTGGAGGAAGACTCACTAACAACCTTTGATATACATATAATATAACCTAGAATGGAAGAGCACTTGGGAAAATTCTGATGAAGATCAAATACTACAGTCTTTAGAGCTTTGATTTCACTTTAATATGAATTAAACAAAAATCATCACAATGAGACCAGTAAATGACATCATGGCAAATGGAGAAAAGGTTGAAGTTGTAAAAAAAAAAAATGTATATTGCCTGGATCCACAATCCACATTCATGGAATTTGAAGAAATAACTTCACAATAACCAAAACAAGGAATTATTGCAAAATACTTATTCAAAATTATTGTTTTGATTTCTGTGTATTCCATGTGGTGAAGTATTTTATGTTGTTTTATAAAAGGTATTTGCAATGAAGAAGTCATTGGTCTTGCAAACTTCCATCGTGCATTCTCCAGCATCATTTCTTTCACCAAGGTCAACTACTAATCCTTCCCTTTTGTTTCAAAAATTGTACTCCAATCACCAGTAATCTGCTGCAAAAGACGTATTCAAACTTTGAGGACTAAGATGTGCTTGATCTA